TATTAGTGTATCATCCCCATAGGATATCCATAATCGACTTAAGGTCAAGTTCCGTTTTACCTTCCCGATTACATTTATCTTATGTTCCATTATCATACCATCGGAAAAACACTATTCGTACAATTACAAATAGTAAACCATTAGATAACACAGAGTAGTCTAATGGCCGAGCGCTCACATTTTCCAATCCACGGATAATGCATAAGAGGATATCATTGACTCTCTATAGGAGCTATGGATTCCACTATCTATGAATAATGAATCTACGCATGCACAAGTCATACCCCCAATGTACCAGTAAGCATACCTTTACATAATGTCAGGATGTCTCCCTTTAGTACATCAAAGGATATAAGTCAAGCATACGGGTTCATCATCCATCTCAGGATTAAGATGACAACATATAATTCATTAAAAGTGAATTGGTTTATTCAAACAGAAATATTAATTCAAACAATTCAACTTTGGTCCGATCCAATATAGATTTCACCATTAGAAACTATATCAATGTCTCCACCCATAGAGTCCCACCTCCGACGACCAAGACAAGCCGTCTCCGTTAGGAAGTAGACAACATAACAATCTTAACATGAATAACGTGCCCAACTTTATTCCCTCGGTTGTGGATCATAAGATTTAGACTATCATCTTTAGATTCTTGTCTTCTGCATGTTCTTCACATTACATGCATGACCTAAAGATTAAGAATGACAGTATCAGACTTTTAGTTTGCTTATCATACATTCAACTATTATGAACACAAAAAGGACAATAGATAGATATATGAAATAAACAAATCTTTATTAATAGTCAAAATGTCTCAAAGAATATTGTTACATTTATTCCTAAGGGCGTAAATGCTAACACCTAGTAGTATCAAGATGTATCAGGATCTCAAGAGCCAATATTGGTGGAGAGGTATGAAGAAGGATGCTCGCCAATACGTGTCAAAATGTGTGACTTATCTCCGAATCAAAGCTGAACACCGGAAACTCACCTGGGAACTACAACCTCTTCTTGTTCTCAGATGGAAATAGGAACACATCACGATGGATTTTCTTATGGGATTGCCGAGGACTGAACAGAGGCACGATGCTATTTGTCTCGTTATGGATAGGCTGACAAAGTCTATGCACTTCATTCCATTTCGTGCAACATATTCCAAGAAGGTTCTAGGAGAGTTATACATAGAATACATCGTTAGGCTTCACGGAGTCCCATTATCCATCACGTTAGATCGTGACACCCGTTTTAATGCAAAGTATTGGAGAAGTTTCCAAGAAGCCATGGGGACCAAATTAAATTTCAGCACTGCTTTTCATTCTCAGATCGATGGACAATCTGAAAGAGTTATTCAGATTTTAGAGGACATGCTTCATGCCTGCGCTTTGGACTTCGGTGGAAACTTGAAGAAGCATCTTCATTTAGCCGAATTTGCCTACAACAATAACTATCAGGCTAGCATTGGATTGACACCATTCCAAGCTCTATATAGTAGACCTTACAGATCACCGGTGTGTTGACTCGAACCAGAGGATATACTTACTCTTAGATCGGATAATATCCAGGAGAACAACGAAAAGATAGCTGTTATTTGAGAACAATTGCTGACAGCTCAGAGTCGTTAGAAAAGCTATGCTGACAGGAGCCGTAGACCCTTAGAATTCCAAGAAGGCAACTATGTCTTGTTAAGGGTTTCTCCGAGCAAAGGGATCACACATTTTGGTGTAAAAGGGAAACTTGCACCGAGGTATATAGGCCCGTTCCAGAATGTCCAACAAGTCGGTGTTGTTGCTTACCGTCTCACCTTGCCTTTGGAGTTATCTCATGTACACGACATATTTCATGTTTCAATTCTTCACAAGTGTCAACCCGATTTGAAAGCCATTGTGCAATGGTACGATTCCCGATTCAATATGACACAACGTACGAGGAAGCACCAGTTCAGATTCTTAATTGGAAGATGAAGTCTGCGTCATTATGAGATACCATTAGTGAAAGTGTTGTGGCAACACCATGGTATAGAGGAAGCAATGTGGGAACCAGAAGCAACAATGTAGGAACGATATCCACATCTATTCTTATCATGAGGTAAGCTCTAATTTTGACGACGAAATTCCTTAAAGGGGTAGAGTTGTAATGACCTCAAGAATTAAACAGGTTTAATTATGCTAATTGTAGTGTATTAGTGTGCCTAATTTGATCTTCTTAATTAATCAAGAACTTTTAATTATTTCCAGTATTTACAATTCCACCCCTTTTCTTTTAACTACCTTTTAATATTACCTTTTTCTTTTATTTTATTTTAATTTCTTTAATTTCTTTATTTCCCTCTCATTCTCTCTCATTCACTCTCTCTCCCCCTCGTTATCTCAGACTCCCTCAGCTCTCTGTGTCTCTCTCTCCCTTGTCCCTCTCTCAGGCTCTCAGAGCTCTCTCTCGTCTCTCCCCTGCTCTCTTTCTCTCTCTTTCTTTTCTCCTTTCTCTCAAGTTTGTATCTCTCGCTTCTCTAAGTGGATTTGGATTCGGATCTTAACTAAAATGGAGATTTGCAATAAGTTTTCAACCTTAAAGTAAAGATCAAGGTAAATATTTGAAACTCACTCTTGATCTTCGATTTTCTCTTGATGATCTTGTTCTTGGTTTAGATTTTAATGAGTTTTGATTTGATTTTGAACGGACTTTGAGTGAAACCATGTTAGAAATTGGGATTTTTGTTTCTTTGGACCCCATTTATTGATTGGAACCTAGTTTTGATGATTCTCCTTGAAAATATCTCGAAATTGAGGCCAAAATTACAGGATTTGGCTTTGTTCTTCGTATTTCAGCCATTTTTTCCCCTGACAGCTTCGAGAGGTCAGCCGATCACCACTCCACCGGCCGACCGGTGGGGTTGCACTACTCGGTCACCGGTTGACCGGTTCACACAAAATCTGACCCAAGATGTTCTAAAAACCATGTTTTGACCTCGAAATTCAATGTAGAACCAACCCAACTTCATTTGAGAACTCAAAGTGAGTGGATTATACACATGAGTCCTTGTTTCCATTCTATTTCTCTTGATTGAATTCTGATTCTCGAAGAATCGTGATTTGAATTAATAAATTATTTATGAACTTTGATTTTGAATCAAGGTAGACTAGTATGATACAATTGAATATAGTTAAGCTAGATTGTTTAGAGATAAGGATTAAACTCAAAACTGTGGTTTTTGATGACGAAGCTTGCGGTACGATTGGACTTGGAGCTTCAAAGACAAGTGGAGCTATGACTACACGAAGTTATCTGTAGAATTGACATCCGAGAGGTAGGATGTTCTTGTCCACATCCTTGTTAGCATTGTTTTAAAGTGTTTTGGCCTATGAAAATGTTTTGAAGATAAAAACGTATTTGAAATCATTGAGAACTAAAGAAGAGTTTTATACGATATTTTTCTTAAAATGGGATATTTTAAGACATGGTAGCAACGGTGATGGCCTAGAAATCATGATATGGAGATTGTATCCTTGGGGACATGACCCGAAACCCGGACGGGCCACTACGGTGGTGTTTGGTCTTACACTGGTCGTAAGTAATTTATCATTACTTGCTGGTGCCTGAAAATAGGTAATTTAAGTTTATTTTTCTTTCAAAAAAAGGTTGTTTGGTTCCGAATGATTCATTTGGGCATGTACTTTCATTTATTTATTCAATTTTATAAATTTATATCCTACTAGGCATTTCACTCACTTTTTCTTATTTTAAATGTAATTTAACCCCTCGTAGGTGACGCTAGAAATAACGTTGAATAGGTGGTTTCAACGGTGAGGAAATTCTAGTCAAGAAGAAAGGAACCGGTGCAATATTACCTTTATTATCGTATTCATTCAAGGCATGTATCAATTCTATGGATTGTAAACTTTAAACTTTACTAGATTGTGATTGATGTCAGTTATTTATATTTCTGTATTTGTATATGTATGTACAATGTGAAAACCCTGTGGTTGCCGGAGGCTGACTTTTGAAACTATTTTAACTCTGATTGTAATTTTATAAAGTCCGCCTCACTCTTTTTAAAACTTAATTTCCTTAAAATAGTGAAGTTTGTTTGGAAATTCTTAATTTAGACATCTTGTTGTGGGTGTTATTAATCATTATTATACTCAATCTCTCCGAGGCACTCCCCATGACATTATTCCCGTACTCAAAACCAATTTTCCATCTCCCATCCAATATGTCTTGAAACAAATGTTAACGAAATTGTCATTTTATTAACTAGGTTTTTTAGGGATTTTATTTTTTAGTAATTTCATTAAATATAATAACACCATATTTCCCCATGGACAACGTTTCACTATAGTTTTGATTGCCACAAGAAAAAAGTTATTAGCACTAATAGTCCGTAAGTGTAAGTATATTGACACTTTAGTCTTCAAATTTTTAATTTTTACAGATTAATCCTTGAATTTTTATTATTTTGATAGTTTAGGTCCGATAATAAAATTGATGAGAGACTTCTAAAATTTAATAGTAGTGATAGTGTTTTTGTTGCGTGACAACTTGAGATTTTATGAAAATAGTTACGTTAAATGCAAAAGGTTCTTTCTACTGCTGTTAAAACACATTGAGTTATAAGATTTTGTATAGAATATAACTATTTTTGAAATATTTTAAGTTATTACACGATAAAAAGATGATTTTTTATGTTAGTTTCAGAACTTTCTTCGCCATTGTGAGGGACCAAAATTATCAAAAAATAAAAGTTTAGGAACAATCTGTCAAAATTAAACGATTAAGGACCAAAGTATACCATATTTAAAGTTCAAAGGCTAACAATGATAATTACCTAAAAACAATAATAAAGGGGAAAAATTAAAGAAAGGGAAAAACAACTAATTTGAGGCCCATGAGTGTCGGAGCATAACGACAATACCGGTATTATGTCCGCACACGGCTTTCCACTACTTGTTTCTCAGACCTTCCATAAGCCAATCACAGTAAACCATTCCCAAGTTCCCAATCCCAGCTTTATATTAATCTCCTTATCAACCTTCCAAAATTACACATCTGCCACTGCCACTTCCACTTTCACTACTCTTATCATTTCATCTCCTTCTCCTTCTCTGCTTCGCAAAGCTTTCCTCTCTCTCAGCCATGGCGTCTTCTCTTCCAACACATTACGCTCTTCAATTTCTCAGCTGTTTCTCCTCAGTTTCTCCCAGACTCTGTTACCTCCGACGCCGTGAATTTTCTAGGCGATTCCCGGCTTCCGAGAAAGTTGCCGTCTTCACTTTCCGGGAAAATTTAAGAGGCGAAGATAAAGTTTACTCCGTCTACTGCCTCTGCAAAGCGAGTGCCGAGGTCGATAGGATTTCGATCGTCGACGAGAGCGAGCGACCGCCGTTCGACATCAATCTAGCTGTGGTTCTAGCCGGTTTTGCTTTTGAAGCCTATACTAGCCCTGCTGTAAATCTTCCTGAATCCCATTTATCTTTTCGCTTTTAGCTGGGGTTTGTTTGGTTTTTGGTAAAATTAGGGAAAATGGAACTACTTTAACTACCGAATTTACTGGAACTATCTTTTTGCCACGAAAACGTTAAGGATAAAGAGAAATATGGAACTTTGAATTGAAATCGGAGCAAAGAAACAATATGGAAATTCTTCTTCTTCTTTTTCAAATTTTCAATTTGTTTTTTCCTGTTATTTGCACTATTGTGTGGTTCGTTGCAGTGAAGGGAAAGAAAGAAAAGGAAGGGAAAATGACTGAAAATCTTGCTCATATTAAAGTTTTTCTCTTGACATAGGTGAGACTGGGATAAAAAAAAAGTATAAAAAGGACTATGAATTCTGAAATAACTATTTATTACATTTTTCTTTTTGCTAGCGAGCTTTATCATCATCATCACTATGACTATTTGTTACTTTGTACGCATAAATCATTATGCTGCAACTTAACTAGGTGCTGCTGACAGCAAATTATATTGACTCTGTGTTGTTCAGGAAAATATTGGTAGACGAGAAGTTGACGCGGCGGATTGTAAGACGGTGTATCTATCAGAGTATGAAATTTCTTCTAATGGATAGATTCTTCAGAATTTCTGTTATTTGCTTTTAATTTTTAAAAGGGATTCCCAGTCTTGTTGGCTTTCATTCACTTAAGAAAGAATAATAGTAACTCATAATTCATGACTAGTTCTAGAACATGATTTCAAAGCCTATCTATTACAAGTAAAATGGTCAATAAATTTATTGACGAACAGATGCGATTTTTCTTCCCTGAATGCAGATCATTTGTACGCGAGATATATGATGGACAAGTATTTGTAAAACTGAAAGAGGGTTTTGATCTTCCTGCCATGGATCCCTGGGTTTGTATTATGCTTTATGCACTGAGGTTCAGTTGTATCTTTTTGCATTGGACGTTTCGTTCATAGATTCAGAACCATGATTCAAAACCATTCTCAGTTTATGTGTGTTTTTTGTGAGAGAAAACATTGTAGCGAGCTACGAACCATGGTTCAAACCATGGCATGAATCCTCATACCAAACACAAGTGATCCAAATGTTTTTACACGTTTATAACTTTATCTTTGTTCTCAGGGGACAAGTGATCCATATGTGGTTATGGAACTGGATGGTCAAGTTGTCAAGAGCAAGATTAAATGGGGGTAAACTCTTGCTATTTTCATTTTTCCTTTTGAATCCATCTATATCTCTGCAGATAAAATGATATGTATATACTCATACTACACCAATCCATATTGTAATAGCTCTTCTAATACTGTGGATTGACTAGAACATCTTATCTTGTTTCATATAGTGTTTTATAGTTGTTATTAAGAATAGAGTGCAGCATATTTTGTGAACTGTAGCTTTAACAATACTGCAGCTTAGACATTTAAGAGTGCCTATGGGTTCTTGTGACAGGCTAGATGTTCCGACTTTTGTGAGAACCACTATTGCTAATGAAATAGTATCCAAAAAACGTAATATTGCTGAATTAGAACTATGGCCTCGTTCATTTCACCGATTCGAGTTTTCAATTCTAATTTTGCTACAATTAAAAGCTCTCAGAAAAAGTCATATCTAACTTTTTTTCTACTGTTAAAAGCTCTCACATAAAGTCACATCTCAGTTCGAATTTAAAAACTTGAATCAGTGAATTGAGTGAGGCCTATATCATACATATTTTAAACATGGTACATCAGAAGACGATTCCAAGGGGATGCAGAAAAAATTTGAAGCTTGATGTGATGTAACTTATAGCTTTTGATATATGTATAAATGATTAATTCATGTCAGGACAAAAGAGCCAAAATGGAATGAGGACTTCACTTTTAATATCGAGCAGCCTCCAAAGAGAAATCTTCAGGTCAATATGCAGAGTGCTAAATCTATAATTTCATTTGCTATGAGAAAAGATCTAATCCACTCTCAGTTTTTCCAGTTCTCGTCTTGAAATATTATACATTCTCTAACATGTAGATATAATTTTAGGTTGCAGCTTGGGATGCAAACCTTGTTGCTCCACATAAACGCATGGGGAATACGGGCATTAATCTGGAAAGCTTATGTGATGGTGAGAAGACAGTAGCGAATCCCTTACATGGTGTAGGATTCATATTTCTCAAGTCTGTTTCATTAGAAGAATTATGTATGTAAATGTTTTGTGTTTGTTTTGTAGATATACTGTATATCTGTATTTGAGTTCCTAGTACTGGTATGATGAGACAACTGCCTTTTGCTAGGAAATATGCATGAACTAGTGGTGGATTTGGAAGGGATGGGCGGTGGTGGAAAGTTAAAGCTGGAGGTAAGTTTCCTGGTGAAATGAACTTCTACATTGGTGCAAATATATATATATATATACATATATATATATATACATATATATATATATATATAGAGCTCTTCTTTTTCTTTTTTTGGTTGGGGGAATGAATCTTATTTGATGTTGACCAATGCATACTTTCATTTATTTCTCGGAAAAGACAATTACACTACTGACTGAAGAAGAAGCTTAAACAGAAAAACTGTGAAAAGAAAAGTCAATTCTTTAAGATATCCATTGAAGTATTTCCACGTACGTAGTTTTACAATCATTCATTTACAAAGTAGTTCTACAATTATTCATTCACATTTCACACACTCAACATATCATTTGCTTCCAAACCCATCAAAATGACGATTAAAGAAAAAGAGAGAAATTAAAACTGAAATCTGAATCTACAAAAGCTTGTAAAAGCAACTTCCACCAACAAGTAGGAAATGATATCTCTTTCCACAATGACACTCGAAGTGAATGTTCAGGTACTTCCCATCTCTCTCCACGCTAAGAGATTCCTGCAATTCCTTTTCAGGACCCTGTTAAAATAACATCAATTAAAAATGGCGTCATGATAATATTATTCTTAATATTAAATCAATAAAAAAAGAAAAACTTTTGAGAGTTAAAAGAAGCAGACATTAGTGGCATTGATATCTTTGTCGTAACCGTGATATGTTGTCGTTTCCACTCCTCCATTTTCTTCCTCTGGTTCTTCTTCTTCAACGAGTGATTCGGTTTGGTCCTCTGATTCATGTTCAACTCTCATGAACTCTTCCATCGACAAGTTTATCTCCTTCCAACAATTCCTAATCTTTGTCAGATTCTGCACCAAAAAGAAAAAAAAATACATTTATTCTGATGCAAATAAGAAAAATTAAGAACTGCCCATGTAATAATGGCCAAGAATAATAAGAAAGAAAATCAGATTCTATTGAATGAAACTTTGCATTATAGAGAAAACAAATTGATAACAATGATAAAAAAAGAAAGTAGCCCAGATCAAGAAACGTAAAATTAAACCAAGAAAATGGCGCTGATTTCAGAGATCAACCTTTTTAGATGAGGAAAAGAGAAGAAATCACGTTGATATACCTTCGAATTGTCAGTCTTGTCAAACTCATTAGAGCTCGAGGTCCTCGAAAGCGATTTCTCCGGGGACGGAAACGGAATGGGAACGGAGATAGATCGCCAGAGCAGCGGCGGCAGCCGAGGAGGCAGAGTAGTGGACGAGCGGGCCGAGATTCAGCGCGGTGTCCGGCGAGGCGTTCGACGAAACGCCCGAGGCCGAGGCCGGATAGGACTCTGGCGGGGACTGAACCGGAGGAGGAAGGTGTAAGGGGCCGGAGACGCAGCGCCGGAGGAGAGGATAAGCGGTGGGGGTGTTGGGGTCAAGAATGAGCTTTTTGGGTTGTTGGGAGTTGATGGAGGTCGGCGAAGGCCGTTTGTGGGAATTTCCGGCGCCGGAGAAGCCGCAGTTGGCGCAGGGAGAGTGGTCTTGTTGGTGATCGAGGCGGAGGACAGAGAAGTCCGGGGGCTCCGTGGAGTGCGGAGGAGCTTCGAGAGGGCTTTGCTGAATCACTTCTTGTTTCTGAACGAGCTGTTGATCTGCCATTCTTGTCTCAAAGTTTCTTTCTTTCTTTTTTTCTCTCTGGTCTTTCCTTATGCTTGCCTCTCTCTCTGAAAGTGTTTGTTTCTCTCTCTGTGTTTTTCTGCGGGGTTTGTTTATATAGAGCGGTGGAAGCGAAAGGAGTGATCTTTGAATTCTTAGCAGAAAAATGGTGGTTCACTTCGACTTCTGATATTGGAGGGAAAATAAACAACCAATGGAAAAAAAAAAAAAAAAAAAAAAAAAAAAAAAAAAAAAAAAAACCCAACAAAATATGATTTCATAAGTTTCCTAAATATGATTTCATAAATACTCCTGCTTTGTATCATGTTTTTATGGTACGTCGTCGTTTGTTAAGTTTCCTTCTTTAAATAAGTTAAATTGTTACTTTGGCGGAAAGAAAAGTTTGATGTGCATCAGTAATTTTAAGGACGAATGAGAAAGTTCTGGATTTTTTTTAATAAGAAAGTACTGGAATTTGAACATGAGAAAGTACCCAAAACCGTCATTTTCTCCCCTTTCATAGTGGGAAAAAGTCATTCAATTTCTCTTCCAGTTTTCAATATTTTCTCTTGACATTATTTTGCTAATGTTGAGGTTTCAGGTCAAGTATAAAACCTTTGCTCAAATCGAAGAGGAAAAGGAATGGTGGAGACTCCCTTTTGTTTCAGAATTTCTGCGTAAAAATGGTTTTGACTCTGCTTTGAAAATGATTGTTGGCTCTGAGACGGTCCAAGCCCGTCAGTTTGTGAAATATGCTTTTGGACAGCTAAAATCCTTCAATGATACTTACCTTACTAAGGATCGGATTTCGAACAGCGATAAAAATGGCAGAAATGAGATTGATAAATCTAATGAAGTTACTGAAGGTACTTCAACTAGTACAACTCACAATGATGGGAACAATTTAAAGGAGCTTCACACAGATAATGATGGATTGGGAAATGGGCATTCTGCTGAAGTTGTACCACAAGTTGGTGAGAAGACAGAATCAGATAAATATTTCTGGAAGAACTTTGCTAATGTTATCAATCAAAGTGTAGTTCAGAAACTTGGTCTTCCAATTCCGGAGAAATTTAAGTGGGATGGATTTGACTTATTGAACAGAATTGGTTTACAGTCGAAAAGTATAGCAGAAGCAGGTTACATTGAATCCGGGCTTGCTACTTCAGAAGGCATGGAGGTAGTCCATGACAAAGCAAGTGGCTCACTTGACATTAAAACCGTTCGTTCTTCCCTTCCGGATATAAAGAAAGCAACAGAGGATCTCTTGAAGCAAACAGATTCCGTCTTAGGAGCTTTAATGGTTTTGACAGCAGCAATTTCTGAATCAAACAAGGAAGCATGCCTTTCGGAAAAGAGTGTTAAACAAGAGGGTGTTTCTAGTGATGGAGATGTAACGAATGAGAAGCTTGCTTCACAAGATGGGCTAGTGTTGGATGAAAAGAAAGCTCAGGAGATGAAAGAACTCTTTTCAACTGCAGAGAGTGCCATGGAGGCATGGGCAATGCTTGCTACTTCTCTTGGACAACAAAGTTTTATAAAGTCAGAATTTGAGAAGATATGCTTCTTAGATAATGAATCAACGGACACACAGGTATATACATACATACGTACGTACATATATACACACACACACATATACATACACACACACACACACACACACATATACATGTGTGTGTATTTGTATGTATGTCTTTGCGAGGTGCTTGCTTTCTTGGTTAGACTTCCTTAAGAATGTGAAGAAGGGAATATGTTGTTTTGAACATTGTCGATAAAGAAATCTGATTATTTTTGTGAAATACTAAAGTAAGAAAAGCTGTAGGTGGCAATCTGGCGAGATTCTTCAAGGAGAAGATTGGTTGTTGCGTTTAGAGGAACGGAACAGGTGGGGCATACATTGCTGTTATTACGGGAGTTGAATGTGTCGCTTTCAGTTGAACATGCTTATTTATTTGATTTTGCAGACAAAATGGAAGGACTTGAAAACGGATTTAATGCTAGTACCAGCTGGGTAAGATCTACTCTTTCTCTCTCTTGTTTTGAGCAATTCATCTGATGTTTTCTCTGATATTGCATTTCTGAATGTTGTGCCCTTTAATCGTATCAGTTTTTGTTTCAATGAAGAATTTACAATGTACTAGATAAATTGCAACATATTTGTTAGTGTAGCCTAATGCTTCATCGTATTAGGGTTGGAGGACTTGCAATGCACTAGATAAATTGCAACATATTTGTCAGTGTAGCTTAATGCTTCGTCCTAGTAAGGGCCAGATATCACACATGTTCACAGTTAGCTTCCAGCTTTGCCATAAAGAAACTAGCTGCGTGAAACTTACGGCAGAATATGTACAGCTGCATGCTATTAATAAGCCTTTGTTTTATTAAATATTTTTCCAGATATTTTCCTTATCTCATGCTCATGTAGGCATAACTTACCATCCATAAGAAATGGAGTTCTGGTGTTTGGAATTATTTCAAGGGCTTTCCTTGTTCAGTTGTTGATTGTTTTTCATCTCAGCTCAGGCCCTAGATCTTGTGGTTTTGAGATGTCCCTCTTTTACGTTAAAGCTAGGTTGATAATTATGTGAATCATTCTATTTTATTTTTCAGGCTCAATCCTGAAAGGATTGGAGGAGACTTCAAACAAGAAGTTCAAGTAAGCAGTTGATACTCTGCTACAATTGCATGAGTTGCAAAGATTACTGAGGACGATTCGTTTCTTTTTTACATGCTGTGGTGATTGATTTATTTCAGGTTCACAGTGGTTTCTTAAGTGCATATGATTCGGTCAGAATAAGAATCATCTCTCTTATCAAGCACGCAATTGGTTATATGTAAGTTATGTCTTCAATGCATTTAACTGATTTTTATTTTTACAAATATGGTATTGTACGAATAGTTTTTGTGAGAAATAATTATGGAGGACCTATTTACTGCAATTTGATATGGTAGGATTCTTTTCAGTATATATGTAATATTTCCTATTTATTTTTAGGATTAAAATGATCTCCGCTAGCTACCAAATCTCTGAACATAAATTTTTGGAAGATTTAAAATAAGATCTCATACTCAACTAGGCCTTTTTCATGTAGAAATGTGGGAAAGAAATAGGAAGGAAAGAGAGATATATAACATAGGTGAGGAAAATGGAGCAAAAAAGGGGATGACTTTTCTACTATTGTATTTCATATGGATTCCTCCTCTAATCCTTCCATATTAGAAGTGACTAAAATTTTGGTTCTTCAAAGGATTTGAAATCCCTCACACCAATCAATTACCTCCTCTTTTCTCTCCTACCCAAAAACCCCTACATACAAAAATCCTTCCACTTATTCCCTCACCCCTCTCTTCTCTTTCCAATATTCCCTACTATTAAACAAGCTTAGTCAGGTTGCTGAGTATTATTTGTACTTTTTTTTCTCTTTCTGTTAAGTACTAGTTTTTGGGTTGAGGAAGCCAAAAAGTATTTTCTTTTTCTTCTATGACAGTGATGATCATGGAGAGTCGCCGCTTAAATGGCATGTTTATGTGACTGGTCATAGTCTAGGAGGTGCATTGGCTACCCTTCTAGCACTGGAACTTTCATCAAGTCAACTGGCAAAGTGAGTTATTCTCCTCCAGTAAGTTAAGCTTTTTGTCGATATTCTTGTTATCATATGTGTAGTCATCGTTGGTATGCTTCCAAATTTCCTTCATTTATTTGGTGTTTCTGGTGGGAATACCATTGTGACACAATGATCTATCGTATCTGCAAGACTTTAGTAAGTCGTTAGGGGTGTGGATGATTGTGTGTGGACAAGCATCACCACACAAAATATTAACCAGATGTGTCCTTTGTTTTATCCACTACCCGATTCTAGGCCAAATAGTTTTCTCTATTTTTTTTTTTAAGAGCTGTCAGAAGTCAAGCCAGAGCGATGTTGCCTTCTCACGGCTTTATCTGTCTCGCATGAAATGGTCACGGGAATGTAGAAACCGTGGCTATATTGAAGGGAAAAGTGAACTAGGATGACACACTTAAGTTTCTGCTTTGATTCTCGCCTAATGTGTCTGATCATTGTTTGGATGAGTACAAGGCAGCTTAACTTTAAAATTGCAATGATGATTTTGTGGTCAATATTAGGTTGTTTGTGATTTATGTTTTGAAAATTCAGACAAATAATACTGATTTAGCATGTGTAAGGGCAGCTGATGGCAAGAACATGGTGATCAGGAATTCAATATCAACTCTTGGTAGAAGGACAAAATTATCTTTTGAACTTCACTGGAAATTTTGATTTTGCTGAGGAATTTTAAAGACATCCTTATTTTAATCACCAAGCATGAGAAATAACAAAAAAGAACCCGTGATTTCTAGCAAACAATATAGAGTCGTTACATTTTATTTTATTTTGAAAGACAAACAGTATTGCCATTAAGCTTTCATTTCTAAAGATGATTTAATGTTTGATTTATGTATTTGTGTGTGCTAGACGTGGGGCAATATCTGTGACCATGTACAACTTTGGATCTCCTAGAGTCGGTAACAAACAGTTCGCAGAAGTTTACAATCAGGTAACAAAGAATGCGTATACATACAATCTGTCTTATCATGCTGTTTTCTTTTCTTCAGTGATGGTTAAAGTTTACGTCATATCATTTCTTTCCTATCATTTCCTCTGTGTGTGTGTGTTATATATGTCATCTCTGCTTGGAATATTTGCAAATAACCCCTATTATAAAGACTGTTTTTATGTCGATATGGTAGCTGCCACACTTCTTGTAGCCTCGAAATACTTTGAAATTTGTGAAGTGTAAATTTGTGACTCTTCTCTTATTTTGCTTGATGCTATATGATTGTCAGTGAATGTTTACACAACCCTCTATGCTTGTGTATTCAGAAAGTCAAAGATAGTTGGAGAGTCGTAAACCACAGGGACATTATACCGACAGTCCCACGCTTGATGGGTTATTGCCATGTAGCTCAACCTGTTTATTTAGCAGCAGGAGATCTAAAGATTGCTTTGGTGAGTAACTCGTTTTCAATCTCTTATGGAGGTCAATTATCAACGATAATGAAACCCACTCTAGGTTACAAAATATCATAACTTGTTGCATTCACGATCCTTGTGTTCTATGCATTTATATTTTTTTCCTAATGGCACACGACTGGTTTCGAATTCTAAGAATTACTTTGCTCTGCACTACTCATCAAATAGATAATCCGGATTGATCTTCTAGAACATAATTAGAACTTGTATATTATAACCCTATCCAGGTCTCTTCTGGTATTGAATGACTTATTATCATGAGTTGAATTGATCATCAGATCATCAGATTATCAATTATAATTTTGTTTCTAAGAAGTTTACTCTTTTTAGTTGGTAGCAATTAACATAGTGTCAGAGCATTGGTCGTTTTTTCTTATCTTTGAAAGTTGGTGACCCTGTTTAGTAATTTTTTAGCGGTGACTTAATATCGAGGAAACATGCCAATGACTATTTCGATAAATGCTTTTTTTATTTTTATTTTTTACAACTACAAATAGTATCTAATAAATGCAGTACATGCTATCCAGGAAAATTTGGAGCTTTTGGGAGATGGTTATCATGGTGACGTGATTGGGGAATCCACACCAGACGTACTCGTCAGTGAATTTGTATGTATCTTGCCTTTTAGTCTTTCTTATCGCAAGATTTTGAGTTATCCATTAACGATTGAATTTGCCAAGTTTGTCTTACTTTGATCTTTCACAATCTTTAGCAAGAAGTGCTTCGTTATTACTTATTAGGTCGATTCTTTTGATCGCCAAATTTGCCTTTCTGATATCTTACTGCAATAGTAACCCTTAACTTTGCACAGATGAAGGGTGAGAAGGAACTTATTGAAAAAATATTACAAACCGAAATAAACATATTCCGCGCAATCAGAGATGGGAGTGCACTTATGCAACACATGGAGGATTTCTATTACATCACATTGCTAGAGGTAAAATATTTGTTGAATGATTATCTTCTCAACTTTTTTGCTGCTTCGAATTTCATGGTTGCTGAGAGTCTGTACAAGAACTTGGAGTAGTTATTCAGAAATATATTTCTTCTACTTTACGTATTGTTTGCAACGAATATTGATGGAAGATTTAGTTGAATATCATAGCATGTTTTGCTCTATTTAATAAATCATTGGTTGTTTGTAATTTGCATACCTGAATAGGTCCTCAATCTTTTCTTCTTCTTGTTTTTTTTCCCCCCCTCGTATAACAGAATGTGAGATCCAATTACTTGAATGCTGCAAGATCGAACTCCAGTGATCAAGATAGCTTAACAGTTGGTCGAGGTTAGCAACTCATGAACCTAAGAAGCTGAGATACACAGATTTAGCTCATATGTCTCTTTAATATCCCTTTAATATGTTTTTTACGCGTCTTATTGATTATGCCACGTCAATTAAAATTATATCATGACTTTTTAATTGACATAATAAAAAATTTTGATTGACGCGGCATTTCATTGACGTGTCATGATTTTATTAGAGGGAGATAAAGAGGACAAAAATAAAGAGACACAGAAGTTGGTTCTGATATACACATTCTTGGAGATATTCGTATTATGAATGTTGCCCAGCTATAGGAATTCTCATGTTGTGTTGTATTACAGTCATATTTCCTTCCACATTATACTGAGATTAAGGCTTCTTGCTGGAATGAGAAAGCAAAAATAGCAGCCATTTGGAATTATGACATTGGCTTAACTAAAGACCATAAACTTGTAAAGCACGTGTGTCGAAAAGTTAGGAGTTAGTCATTTTAGGATTTATTTTTAATATTACTATTTGAACAAGGGGGGCGTCTATTAATACCACCTATTATACTTTTTACACACTTATTTTTAATAAATTTTTTATTATTAAATTATCCATTAATAGAATTACGTTTAAGGACAACAATCTTTTAAAACAAGGCAATTTTTAAAAATGCCTCTTGAAATAAAGCCCCTTTTTATTTTTACCTCTTAACATTAGCCCATATGTTTTTACATAGACTAAAACTAGCTAAGAGGTAGAGTTTTTTAAAAGAAGTATTTTTAGTAAGTCACATACTTTAGTCAGGTAGATTATGTAATTTCTCTTTAAAAAAATATTAATTATACACCCCACTTAAAAAAAATTTATTACCTTGTAAAAAATTTTGCAGCGAAAAAGTTTTTTTGGAGAGAGTTTCCGATTCATAATCGTTACTTTGCTTCACTTCCTTTCGTTTATTACTGATTGTATACATACGTTTCTTTTCCTCCCTTCTTTATATGTATTGTTTGTATATAAATCTCTTACCATCTTGAGTATTATTTAACCTCTCTTCCTCCTAAATTAGGATAAGGTTGAACTTGTTATTTTTTCTGATTTAACAGGTATTTAGGTTTATTTTTGAACTTGTTATTTTTTCTGATTTAACAGGTATTTAGGTTTATTTTTGAACTTGTTATGGAGATAAGGAGCTGATCTTATCTCATATTTTAGGCTATTAACATTATGCATTGGTTTTTTTTAGCCTATTTGCATTATGTATCTTATCTCTTATTTTATGTATTTTTGGTTTTCTTTTATGAGAATATGTATTTTCTGTTTTTCATTCAATAAAGAATCGGTTTTTTTCTTTTTTTTTTTTTTTTTTTGAAAATTACTACTTTAGAGTGCATGCCTTTGAATATTTTCACATTACTCTTTATTAATACTCTTTTGACTATTATAATTTAGGGATATTAATCAAAAATAAAGGTACATTCTGAGGAGTATTTGTATTCTTTTCCAAAAACATTTCTCGAAATTAGTTTTCAACATGTTTAAAATGAAATGTATATTTATGTATATTTCTCACCGAAAAATCTTCCCCTCTTTCCCTAAATAATGCAAAAGGGCAAGTTAAATGTTATCTTGCAAAGCACATTATTATTATTTATTTTAGGCTAGTAATTGATTACAAGCTTTTAAATCTTTTCTTTCATCATGGAGGAAAATAGTTTCTAAATCTCACAGAGCTTGTTTAGAGTTGCCAACGCTAGTTGATCAATCTCCCTAATGGAGATATCCTCCAGTTCTCTCTTGGTTGCAAGGAGAGACCGTTGAAGCTCTTGCTGTAATTCCTGAGGAATTGAGGCCATGTATACTTGGTGAAGGTTGGGATCATTGAATTCGTTGAGCAAGTAGTATCGCCGTGACATTCCTTGATAATGAAATTCAATGTCTTTTCTTTTTAAAGAATATCATTTCATTTCAAAGTATTCCTGGGGCATATAGTCTCTTATAAACTCTTGGTATATGATCCCAAGAATTCCTACTGCATTATCTGCCTTGATAAACTAGAGTTGTCTGTATCCTTTGAGACTTTGGAACCAATCTCTGAGGGTACCAGTAAATCTGGAAGCAAACTCTCTAAGGACGACTTCCAATTGTGCTTCAGGTTTTGACATCTGTAGATCAATCCATGCTCCGAATTCATTGATTCTTTCTCTCCATTGGTATGGAGAAACTTTATCAAAGGTATACCAAGGACCAGTTGTTGGCTTAGAGAAGACATTTTCTAATCGTTGTTGTGCATCAGGGGGTTCTTCTATTATGGGAGAAGATGGTTCTCCCATTTCTTCATAGGTCTGTTGCTTATTCGATCCTGTGGAGGTAGCCATTAGTAGCCGCGTAATGTCCATGGTTTCTTCAAATTCTTTCGAATCTTCAGAGCTAACTGTTGTTTCAAATGATTCTAAATATGTTTTTGAATGTTCTGAAACCGCTTCTAACTCTAGAGAGGTTGTCATCTGAGCTAGGGAATATTCCGCTTCTAACTCTGAAGCGAGTACCATGTGAACCGGGGAATATTCTGAGCTTTTCCACTTTTCTTCTGTTGCAAACTTGGCTTTTTGTGGAGCTGGCTCTGTAGCAGGCTTGGCCTTTTATGGAGCTGGCTCATCTTCTTCTGATAATAGACTCATTCTGGAGGTTTTCTTTGTTGAAGAAGTTGGCTTTACTGAAGGAGTTGGTTTCGACCAGGTCGGGTCTTTGAAGACTTCATGGGTCATTTTGAAGATCTTTAAATAGTCTAGCTGAGCTGGGTACGAGTATGAAGGGAAGAATGAGGATCCACCAAACGGAGGAAGCTACTAAGAAAGAGGATCAAACATTCTCATTTCTCTTCTATCTAGATCTTCATCAATATGTCTGAGCTGAGCCTTTAGATTTTGGATCTCTACTTTCTTTGTGTCAAATTCTGGTCCAATGTACCTCTGGTTGATGAAGTTCCTTAGGTCAGATTCTGACTGCTTGATTCTTGATTGGAGGCTTTTGTAGAGTCTCTGAACATCATCGCTGAGGCTGTCAAGCTTCTTGTCAGTGAGGTTGGACTGGGCTATGACCTTGTCAACCTTTGTTTCAATCTTTTGTAGGGCCTGGTTTTGAGCTCTGGCATTTTGATTTTGCCAGTTCAGAACCTCTTCTACTTGGGATGAAGGTTTTGGCTTTCCATTTGGTTGTATCTCTGATGGCTGAACATATGGCTAGTGGTGGGCTTGTGTCATGACTGGCACGGCCCTGCATTGTGCAGGGTCGTGCCAGGGCCGGGCCTGAGGAGAAACTCTCAGGTCCAACACTAGCCCTCGGCCCTAGTCCATAAAGGCCAGGGCCGGGCCCGGGCCCTGGCCCTTTTAATTTTTTTTGCAATATTAATTAAAAAAATATATATCATATGCCCCCTAAAAGATGTGATTTTATTGAACTGAAATAATATGAATAAATACACATAAATGACTAGCTCATTAAAAACCTTACTAAGTAAAACTCATGGGGAGATCGGGATAAAACCTTAGCGAAGAAAAAATAGTGTAGTATTCTAAAATGGTAAATTACACTGTTGAAGAATTGCTTTCAGAAGATACTGTTATGTCTAAGTTCAAAAAATGTTCTTGAATTGAATCATCTGTATAGTGTTGTTTTTGTCTTCTAGCATCTTCTCAGTATTTAACGCACATTAGCCTCTCTAAGATATCGGGATACATTTTGCTCCTCTTCTCGTTAAGAATTCGGTTGTTTTACTAAATGCTTGCTTCGATGCTACCGTTGACACTAGACTTGTCAGAATGTCATGTACTATTATGGATAGTGTTGGGAAACGATCGGTCTTGCTCCTTCACCACTGTAAGATGTCCAGTTTGTCGTCATCCATTACAAAATTTGATTCAAAATATTTAACTAGTTTGGTTGACGTTTGTGTTGATGACGATCTTGACGCTTTCTCCTTCTTCTTCAAGAAGCTCCACGATGAACCTTTAGGCCCCAAACTGCTTCTTGACGTCGAAGTTTCTTGTTCATTTTGACCTCTTTCGTATTTTACTTCATACAAACCAAATAATTTTTTTTAACATTTTCCTTGCATCGACAATAGTTAGTTGCATATGAATATCTAATTTTTTTGCTGTAGCAGACATCAAAGATTCCGTCCCATGTAATCCGCATATAAAATCTAAAATGATTGCTAATACATATAACATAGGATAACCGGCCTAATAACTTTTAAATTTAGCTTATTATACTATGTTTCTAACTATATTGACGATATACTATAGAAAGTGCAATTTAAAGGGACAAAATAATTGTTAATTTCACAATATAGTATATAATTCAAATGGTTGGTTGTTTTGTAGCGTGTCAATTTTATGGGACCTATCAAAAGCTCTTTTTTTTTCTTCTTTTTTTTTTTTTAAGAATCAGCTCTATCATATATAAGCTTATTCTAATAGGAACTAGATTTATACTGTTTTTCTTCAACCAAAAAAATATATATACTGATTATTCTTTCCATATGACGGAGAGAAAAAAAAAAAGATAACTAACTAAATAAAAATTTTAAATTTGCATACTATATAGTTGCTGAGTTGCGTAAGAGATACAAAAATGTACGGTTCACACTAGCAAGTGTTGTGATTTTCTTAGATGTATGCCAACATCGTAGGTGAAGTACCTATGTATCTAATTGGACAATGTTGAAGAGGATTTCTTTAGTGGACACTGAAAAAATAACTTTTCAATTTGTTTTCGGCCGTTAAATTTATATTAAAAATTATTTATTCTGTATATTTTTTAATGTAATATGATTTGATCAAATTTATTAGTCAAAACTTTACAGGCCCTACGTAAGAAAGACCTAATGTTGAAATTGTAAGCTTTCTTTCGTCTTCCACATGTCAATCTGCAGCTGGATTGCTACCCTAGGTTGCAGGCTCTTGGAAACTTCTCAACTCAACCATTAATCAAATCAATAATAAAATATGAGTTTCTCTAGCAGAGTCTTCCTATCTGCAACGGTTAATTTTTGGTTCATTTTTTCTAATTCCTATTAAGAAGCTCCCAAGGAAAATTTCAAACTAATCAACAAAACTAATAATAAATAAAAACAAGTCAATTTGATTTGATTTAATTTAATTTTGGTTGTTGGTTATTATAGTTTATTCGTTTTTTTTAAAACCCCTATTTTTTTTTTTTTGAAAATGAAAACCCCTATTTTTAAATACATATAAGAGAAATGACTTTTTCTCATTCAAATGTAGATTAGAAGCAAGTTGGTAAGAAAAATATAAGAGAACATTAATCTAGTGCTGAAAGTGTTTTGTCCATTGATAAAATGTTGTGTAACAGTTCATGGGGTCTCATGCTATTCTTTAAAACAATGTGAACAAGTTTGACTCTTTTAAGTCGAGCTATCTTTTGAGTAAAATTTAATAGGTTTTTTATTTTATTGGAGAGTCTTTTAATTTTTAATCTAAACAAAGAAGTAAAAATTTGAGTCTATTTTTTATTGAATAGCTATCCGATAACACCAATTTTCTCCTTTTTTTTTTTAAGGAAAAAAATTTGTGGAAAGAAGTAAAAATTTAGGGTGCGTTTGAAATTGGTTTTAAAATGATTTTATTTTCATTAAGAAGTAAAAATGAGATTGTTTTGAGAATCATTCTGAAAATAATTCTGAAATTGGGTTTAATTAGTTTTTTAAAAGATTATTTTAAGTATAATAGAAGAGTGAAATCGTGTTTGATTATAATTATTAATTAATATATTATAATATTATTGATAAGTATTAGAAAATGAAAACAGAAAAGTGAAAATAACTTTTAATTGTTTTCTAAATTCCTTCACAAAAATTATTCTCACTGTTTTCGTTTTCATTTTCGTTCTCGTTTTCAAAATATTTTTTAAATAAATGCCGTTTCGTTTTCAATTTCATTTTTTTCTCATTGAAAAACGTTAAAAACGTTTTAGAAACGAACAGACCCTTAGTTTTCATTACAACTCTTCTAGGATCCCTGTAGGAAAACGCCAGGGGCCTTAGCTGCAGGAGACGTACTGATGGGAATAAGTTTGCCAGTTATCAGTAACATTCATTCACATTCCCCCCAACAAGCCATTAATTCCTATGTTCCACGACAAGTCGAAAGCTTATCCCTTCCAATACAAAAAACAAATTTGGAGTTTATTAGACCAACTTGTGACTTCATAACTTGTTGGGATGTGAAACTTTGCTCAAAAAAGCCTGAGAGCAAATTCATCATTATCCTTATTTTGGGACCATGGGACATTACATTCTTTAAAATAAAATAAAAAACACAACATTTATAGCTCAGCCTATTTACATCTAAGCTACTACTAGTAAATTGCTCAATTATGCATCATCATATCTAGTTCTTTTGCCTTAATAAAAATGAGCAATTTTCTTTGCAACTTATAATTTTCTACAATTATTTCCGACCTTGTGTGACAAAAACTTTCTTGGATGGAGTCTTGGCGTGCAACACTTTCTTGCTGCTCATAATCCGCAGACTTTGCCTCAATATGTCCACCTCTCTGTCTTTCTTGTACAATTCTCGTTCCATACAAGCTAATCTTGATTTCAAATCTTTTATGGTCTCTTCTTTTGCTTGTAGCTCTCTTTTTAGCTCTTCTGCCATGTCTTCCTCCTCTGCTTTCCAATATAATCCACCTTCTGTACAAAATAACAACAAATAGCTAGTGAGTGTTATATTAATTTGTCAATTCTTGGTCTAAGATCATTTTTCCCACAATCTTTGTGGAACTCACACATGAACATAAATATTGGCAAAAAAAAAAAAAAATGGGGCTTAAGTTTGCTTAAAAAAAAAAAAAAAGGACTGATGTTTATTAAAGGTGTCATCTTATTTTTTTTTTTTTTGTTATAATAAGCCCAATTAATCAAGAATTATATATAGTTAGAACAAGGCTCAAAGCTCTTAAAATGTGTAAAGTCAAACTTGGATTCCATGTGATGGCAGTCACTATTGAACTAAAAATTTAAAGACAACAATAGTAAACTTGCCAAGAATAACACTACTATTTATAAGCACATGTATCGTACAATAAAAAAACGTTTTATTCCCCTAATATGCAGATTAGTTCTGGTCAAATACACATAATAATCAAAGACATGATGAATGGTTTTTTTTTTTTCACATGTTCCAACTTATTAAAAATCCTTGAGTTGTGTTAGCCATGAAATATTTGTACTTCTATCATTTTCTTATGAAAGGAAGTACAAAAGGAATAAATGCTTTGATGGAGAAATTAATAAAGTCATGAAAACAGCCAATAGTAATTAAGATGACCATGTCGGTTAATGAATAGCAAAATGACTGCAAAGTGAATTTTGTATGGCAATTATCAGAAGGAAAATAAAAAAAAATAAAAAAAAAAAGTGCGGTTTTGTATGGGACTAGAGCTACTAAATGATACATTTTTCACTTCATTTCCCAATTCCCATCTAATCGAACTTTAATTACCCCAATGCTCTCTTCTGCCTTGTAACCTTTTCTCTTCATCTATACGACATGTCGTATAACATGCTCAATTAGTTAATTCCTCAAGAATAACTAGGAATAGCACAAATCCTACAAGACTTTAATCCTTAAAGATTCTACACTTATTTGCTATCATTGGCTATTCAAAATCGAAATTTAGAAGGGGCGGGGGTAAGAGCCTTCCCCTTCTTAGTTTTCACCCCACTATGAATTTTGTTTATTTACTTTATTTTTGCTGCATCTTCATACTAATTGTGTTGATAATTATCAAATTCCAATCATATAACGTGAGAAGAAGCATAGTAAGATTTAGCCTTTTCTCCTATAAAAAAAAAAAATATATATATATATATATGTATATATATATTCTCAGCATATGCTCGCCACATGTTAAACGTGAGTGTGTGTTTGTTGAGAGAGAGAGAGAGAGAGAGAGAGAGAGATAATCACCATGAGTCCTCTGAATGAGATCATCAAGCTCCATCTTAATTGCCAGGTAAAGCTGCTTCCACTTCTCAACAGTCTCATCTCTTCTTGCTCTCTCTTCCCTCATTTGATCCACCAAAAAATTAGCACCCACAAAAGCCCACTGTTCTTTCCCATTAATTACACAACCACCCTTCTCTCCCCCAATATTTACACTTTCCTCCTCAATTTCTCTAATCCTCTCATCCTTCTCCTCCACCATTGCCTTCAACATCTTAACCTCCTCCTTGAGCTTCTTCCTCTCTTGCTTCCACTCAGCCTTCTTGAATGCAAAAGCCATCATTTCCTTCTCATATGCTGTAGTAGTGATACCATTACTACTTTTATTAATTTCTTTCACTTTCACCCTCTCATACATTGACTTATCATGACTCACTTCCTCTTGGATAAATCTGATCTTTTCCTTCAACCCCTTCACATGATTTTTCTCACATAAAACCCCCCTTCTATGCCTGCTTGAATTCCCACCCATTTGAAAGAGAAAAAAAAAAAAAAAAAGAATTAAAGGCTTAGTTTTCTCTATCTCTTGTGCAAAGTGAAGGAAAATTCTTCTTGATGTGTGAGAAAGTGATGGATGAGTATTGAGTAGTGAGAGAGAGAGAGAGAGGGGTGTGAGTGACATAAATTCTATGGAGAGGCTCCTTCCTCCATTAATGAAGGAGCCTACTTTGGGGCTTGCCTATTTTTATAAGCTAAACTTGTTAGGCCTCGCTAAGTCGAATTATTAATGGAAGTGCCAATGAGGCTCGTGAATGCCTGACTGTGGATGGCGATTATAGATTGGACATATACATGACTGATATGCAAGTATAAAAGGGAACAAAGCTAAGTCACATGCACAATTATAAATATATTTTTTGGGTTTTTGCAATTTTACCCTCTAACTTTGATTGAACTAGCAATCAGTCGCCCTTCAACTTTTAGTTGTGGCAAATTAACCTTTGAATTATTTAATAAATATTATAAAGTGCCTCCATCAAGTGATATATAGACAATAATTTCGTTAGTTTAGGGACTCAAATATTAAAGATTTTTAAATTAAGGACCAAAAGTGCTAAGAGTTCAATTATTATAAGACCAGAGACGCAAGTGATTTTTTTTTTTTTTTTTTCCCCTTTGAAGTGTAGGTTGGGTCTAAGAAATCACATCTCAATAATTAGCCAGGAGGCCAACTTCTTTATGGGTCCGACACGTTTTCTCCAATGACGTGTTGATAATATTTCAAGGGGTTTGTCTTGTGAGCATCTTCTCACAGTTTCAAACTTAGATGGGTGGGACTCTACATTATTGCATATATTCCTTAATCTTATGATTGCATTCTCAAGTCCTTAAAAAGTAACGTGAGGTTTAGATTATAGATTTAAAATTATATTTTAAAATTATTTTTAATTTATGTGTATTTTTAAAAAAAAAATATATTGTAATAAATTACGAATTATTATTTAAATTAGGATACAAATCTTTATATTAAACACCTCAAAACCAAACCACACAGTTTACGAATTATTGTTTCTTTTAGTCCTCCAAAATCTGACAAGTTCTCCCGGAAAATTATCCTTTCTTCCATTCCAATTATAGCATTTTCTTTTGGATCTTCGATGATAGTTTTAGTTCGCAATTACGTACATAGCATTTTCTTTTGGATCTTTGATGATGGTTTTAGCGCCGATTGCTACGTCCGTTAAACTTTTTGTCAAAATGTCTCAAACTTTTTTCAGCAAAATTTGTGATGTTCCATGCAGCTTGAATTCTAGCCACTAGAATTTAAACAACAATTTTTGGTGTCGAAAAGAAAGTTGTTAATTTTTTGCTAAAAAAAAAGAAAAGATGTTTCGAATAGTTTGTTTGAATTATTTGATAGTACATTCAATAAAATGGTATTAGAGCTGTTAGTTTAGATTTAGTCAAATAGGCCAGTTCGAAGCTCATCATTATTAGCTCAGGTTCGGCCGGGTTAAGGTTTTGAACACCAAAAGTTTGTTCGTGTCGTGAACGCCATCTTTTAAACATTGTTTTAGAAATACATTATAAAATTATGGATCAAGTCAGGTTGGGCCGTCTCTCTCTCATTTATGATCGGATTGATCTAAAATTTTCATTTAGACTGTCGAGTTAGACCGAACGGCCTAAATTTTTACCTCTAAATAGGATACATCATAGCTTCTTAAAATCCTTCTAGGAAAGGAAATCATGCATATCAAATCATAACTTTCCTTTTCCATCCTTTTTTTTTTCTTTTTTTGCTGAAATCTATTGGTGATTTCAATTAATTAACAAAAGTTAAAAGAGAATTTCTCCGATTGGTAAATACTACTGATAGATTATAGTATCGGTTTCTAACCGGTAGATTAAGTGAAAATCACATTAGATTAAAAAGGTACGTAAAATAAACAGTTTTTGATATAAATCTAACAGCTGAAAATAAAGAACTGCTGATGGTTCATTTTTTCTGGTCCTATAAAATAAGCTACCAATATAAAATAATTTGAAAAAGAAAAAAAGTATAAGGATTAAATGAAAAAGTAGACATATCAAGGAATAGCAATCAAATGTTAAATTTGTCATATATTATATTTAGTGCAAAATTTACAGCAAAGTATAGCATATGATAAATTTGACACAACAAATGATATTGAGCCATTAGAGAGTATTTTTTACATTTAATGTGAAGTTTATTATTATAATTTGTGTCATAATTTATGGCTCACTACAATATTTTTTCTCATAAAAAATACACATAAATTAAAAATAATTATGAATCTATAAATAAACGTCCACTGAGCTAAAAATAAAAACATAAAATAAATAAATACTTTTTATGTCTGTATTCACTGATTATACCAAACAGTTGTCGATGTTCCACAACAGTGAAAAGATTATTCAAAAGTAAAAAAGGCTGAGACAAATGTACACCAAAAACCCACTTCCATTGATAAGATAGAATAATTGCAAAAAGAGCATATATATAAAATATCTTGCTTTGTAGGTGTCATTAAAATCTAATACCAAAACAAAACTTCCATTACATCTTATGATCTTGCCCATTAGACACACCATATATACATCACATATATAATATATGTCCAAATTGTATTTATGGCTCTGGGAATCTTTGGATTCCCTGGCTGAAAATGACCTGCATTTATGAGTAGTAGGAATAAGAAGTGAACAAGGTCATGAAATGAAATGAAATGGCTCTATACAAGAGCAGTACCACAAGTTGGTCCAATTTTCATTAAATTGGTGTTCTGGTTGCTTGCACTACCTTGCAACCAACCCCATGTGTTTCAGCATGTCTATGAGAAGGCATTTGAGAAAAGAAAATGGAATTTTCCTTTGATTGTGTGGTCATCTTTTGTCCATTCTAGTCTTAATTTTAACCTTTTTATTATCTTCTCACTCTAAAAAAAAAAAAAAAAAAAAAAATCCCGCTTTTTAACTATCTCTTTGGATTCTTTGGTGCAATTTTTGGTCAAGACTTTCAGAATCTCAATGGTTTTTGGTTTGGTTTGACACCCTTTAATTGTGTTTCTCATCTCTTGTTCTTTTTATCTTTTTTATCTTTAACTCTTGTTCCTGTTTCTGTTGGTTATATATCTGCATTATTGTTCATTCATGCATAGAGCTTTATTTGACTTTCCACTTCATGAAAAAAGAAAATAAAAGTAAAAAGAAGAAAATAGTGGGCATAAATTTCTAATGTGAGACCGTTGTACAAGATAGACCATAATTGCTATTACTAGATGTGGACATCTCTCAAACCTACGAAGCAGTCTATTAACCTTTGAGCCCCCACAAATTTTAGGATTGTATTTTCCTTTTTCAAGAAAGAGACTTTGTGGAGCTTTTTTTTTTTTTTTTTTTTCCAGTACGTTTTCTTGCAATATTATTAAGAAGTAGGAGAGATCCGATGGCCCACTCGGAGGTTGGTTCCAGCTTTAGATACGTTTGATTGGAATTATGTGGAATACCTAGGTGTCCTTTTAAGAGTTAATTGTTTCATAATAGTAATAGAAAATAAGTTATTAGGGCAAGCCTATGGTAGGAGGCAGCAAAATCCCCTACGGATAGGGTGAGATCTGAAGGTCAATGAATTTTGGTGAGGGTCTCAAATTTTAAACTCACATCAATGAAATGAACAGAACTATAATCTTACACACACTTAATTATAGTAAAAACACAACAAAAAAAAAATAATAATAATGACCGTGTTTAGAATTAAATTTAGTTTTATTTTTCACGTTTTTTTTAAATAAAAATGTTTTTAAAACAATGTGTAGCACAATAAAAATAAAAAATAAAAATAAAAATGATTTTTTAATTTAGTGTAAAATAAAAAAAATAAAAAATAATTTTTTATTTTTTATTTTTATTTTCTCTCCTTGAATAAAGAAAGAGATATTAATAATTTTTTTATACTAAAAATAATTTTTTGATAAAATTATTAAATATATTTTTAAAAATAATTTATGTATGAGATTAAAAATATTTTTATTTTTATTTTTATAAAAAAATAAAATTATTTTAAATCGAGTTTCAAGTGTACCAAAATATCTTTTGCCTTACGACCCATCACCGCTCCGACGTCCCCTCAACGACCCGCCCCTTTCACGCCCAACCACCGCGGCTCCCATCCTCTGGCGAACCCCAGCTTTGCCTCGCTCGACTCCGCCCCTTTCACTAGATTGCTTCTGAAGCTCTACAATTTTTTGAAAATATCAAAACTAAAAAAGAAAAAAAAAAGAAAGAGAGAGAAAAAAGAGTTCATGGCATCTTCACTGGCTCTAAAAACAACCCAAGAACATTCTTAGAAAAAAAAAAAAAAAAAAAAAACAACCCAGAAACCAAAATTCCTAAACTTGGTGATTAGATCAAGTTGTTCCCCTGGTTTTGGGATCATGGTTTTTGTTTGCTCCTGTTCTTCGATGGTCAAACTTGCTTTCTAAATTCATTCCTCCCTCAAAAGTTCATTCATTTTCTTCTTTCACAAACACCTCTTCTATGTTCGTCATATCAAGCAGACTCAACAGATGAAAACACAATAATAATATTACCCAAAATTCAGAAAATATTACCGAAGACTACAAAGGGGAACCTTTTTTTTTTTTTCTAAGAACCCAAAAGATGAGTATTCCTTCATTAGTCAGAGACTGCCTGTAAAACAAATCAAACAAATTCACATCATTAATTCACTAGACTCATTCATTTGATGAACCGGTAACAAGAATATAAATAATTGGAAATACAAAGCCACGACAAAGCTCCAGTCAACACCAAATCAAACCCAAACGACCTAAATCCCATGCTCTTCCTCCTATTAATCAGTGGGTCGCTTAACAATGTCAGTGAATCGTTGGTGATAGCAAACTTGAAGAGGTCTGATGGCGTGACCTGCAGCATCAAAGAAGACAAGAATGTGGAGGCGAGGGAGAGTTGACAGGAAACGGCGATGATCTCGAAGGAGGAGAGCTGGGAGGACTTCATTTGATTTGGTGCCGTCGTCGAGAGAGGGCTGTCGCGGGAGGAGGAGCGAGATGCGCCGTCTTCGTGCCGGCGCCGTGGGAGGAGAGGGATTCCATCGGAGGAGGTCTGAGATGAAGTTTTTTTTTTTTTTTTTTTTTTTGAAATGTTTGAGATGAAATTTTTGACTTAGAAGAAAGGATCTAATTAGATGCGGGAGTCTTTATTTTTGTTTTTATAGAGTAGTTATTTTAGGCCATTAATCTTTGATCGAAGGTGATTATGATGTTATCCTACCAGTAGGGAAAAGAGCTCACCCTACCATGGAGATGCCCAATTTTTTATTATTT